AGAATGAGACAGTCGAGGACTGGTATTTTCTATTGTACACATTCATAGGTGCTTACTATGTGCCAGGAATAAAACTAACTGCTGTAATAAAGAAATAAATGAATGAATGAATGAATGAATGAATAAATAAATAAATAAATAATGGAAGAATAGTTGTAACCTATCAAAAACAAAACTCAGTGTCACTGAGTCAATTCTGACTCCTAGTGACCCTATAGGACACGGTAGAACTGCCCTTTGGGTTTCCAAAACGGTAACTCTTTACAGGAGTAGAAAGCCTCATCTTTCTTCCTCAGAGCACCTGGTGGTTTCAAACTGCTGACTGTGCACATGGCAGCCCAACACATAGCCTACTATGGGAGAAAGATGAGGCTCTCTACTCCCACAGTCTCAGAAGCCCATGGGGACAACTCTACTGGGCTCTGAAAGATCACTGTGAGCCAGCCCGGACCCGGTGACAGTAGTAACCTCTAGGATGAGGGTAATTAGCAGATGAGGAAGAAGAACGAGAGTAAGAAGTTTTTCTGTGTTTCTTCCCCCTCCCACCACCAAGTTGGATTTACTAATGTCTTATTTGCTTTAAAAACCTAGGAATGGTGTGCATAATGAAAAATAAAATTTTAAAAAGCTATTAAACTTCTGATAAACTATTGATCTCCATTAAGTTCTCGGAACTGAGATACATCTCACTTTCAATGGCTTATACTGACCTGGAGAGCAAAATTCAATGTGTCTGACAAATACACGTCGACCTCTCTCATGTTGGAAGAAGTACACACAGGATTCTCCTTAGAAGTGAAGACGTCAAGAGTTTGACCCACATGCTTTGTTATCAGGGGAGACCAATCGTCGAGAAGGGCATTGCCTGGTAAGATGAGAGAGTAGGAGGAAACACGGAAAGCCCTCAGTGAGATGGTTGGCACCGTGATTGCCGTGAGGGGCTGCAAAACAATTGTCGTGAGGCCCTGGGGGCACAGGCCAGTGCTCTGTGCTGTTGCACGCCTGGCCGCTGGGAGGAGGGACCAGCTTGACGGCACC